GAGAGAGAGACCAGAGAGAGACCAGAGAGAGAGACCAGAGAGAGACCAGAGAGAGAGACCAGAGAGACCAGAGAGAGAGACCGGAGAGAGAGACCGGAGAGAGACCAGAGAGAGAGACCAGAGAGACCAGAGAGACCAGAGGGAGACCAGAGAGAGACCAGAGAGACCAGAGAGAGACCAGAGAGAGACCACAGAGATCAGAGAGAGACCAGAGAGAGAGAACAGAAAGAGACCAGAGAGAGACCAGAGAGAGACCAGAGAGAGAGACCAGAGAGAGAGACCAGAAAGAGACCAGAGAGAGACCAGAGAGATAAACCAGAGAGAGACCAGAGAGAGAGACCAGAGAGAGACCAGAGAGAGACCAGAGAGAGAGACCAGAGAGAGACCAGAGAGAGAGACCAGAGAGAGAGACCAGAGAGAGACCAGAGAGAGTCTGGGAGAAACGAGCCAAAACACAGACTTCTTCCAACGACAAAACAACATTTCCATGACTAAAAATTGGAAGAAAAACATAGAGAATCAGATTGAGGTTGTGTTTATTATAACAGAGCTGAAAATTAGAAAAATGGGGGCCCTCGTTGCACTGATTAGTCCTAATTTCTCCCCATTACCGCAATTATGTCCTTGGCGTTTTATCTATTTTCTGAAAGCTAAAATTGCTTTCATTGCGTCAACAGATTTCTCGAGTCTCGGCCAAATTTGGATTTTGGATTTTCAACCCGTCGCTTTGTAAAACATCTCAGAGAGTCCAAAAAACAGCCCTGAGTAAGACAGATGTATTTGTATCATAATTATTTTTATCGTTAATTAAACAGCCTCCTGCACTTCCTCCTCACGCCGGTGTTTTGAGCTGTCACTGGTTTCTTTAATCAGAGCGGCTAAAGCTAATTATCTCCTTTAAGATGAAAGCAACACAACTGGACTGTCGACACATGTTTGACTTCTGTAGGCAAGAGGGAGGTGTAGTTAAAGCTGGGTTACCTAACTAGAGAGAGAGCAGAGAGAGAGCAGAGAGAGAGAGCAGAGAGCGACCAGAGAGAGAGCAGAGAGAGAGACTAGAGAGAGAGCAGAGAGAGAGCAGAGAGAGAGAGCACAGAGAGACTAGAGAGAGAGCAGAGAGAGACCAAAGAGAGACCAGAGAGAGACCAGAGAGAGAGAAGAGAGAGACCAGAGAGAGAGTCCAGAGAGAGACCAGAGAGAAACCAGAGAGAGAGAAGAGAGAGACCAGAGAGAGACCAGAGAGAGAGAAGAGAGAGAGACCAGAGAGAGACCAGAGAGAGAGACCAGAGAGAGAGAAGAGAGAGAGAGCAGAGAGAGAGAGCAAAGAGAGACCAGAGAGAGAGAAGAGAGACA